AAGGATGGGTAATTTCAACCTTAAACTATCTCAGATGATTGAAAAGAGGAAACGCCCTACTAACGGCATAAAGTTAATATAATCACAGCTGGTGGCACTGTTGTAAGCTGTAATCCCAGATACTCAGCGAGGCAGAGATCAGGGAGGATGCAGTTCAAAGCCAGCCCACATCAAATAGTTTGTGCGACCTAATCTCGAAAAAAAAAAAAAAAAAAACTCTCCAAAAAGGCTGGGAGACGGGAGGCTGGTAAGTACTCAAGGTGTAGGCCCTGAGTTCAAGCTCCAGTACCTGGAAAGGAAGGGAAGGAAAAGAGGGAGGAGGGAATAATAATCACATGGACACTGAGAATAGAATATCAACATCCAGTCCCATTTATTAATATGGATAATAGAAATCCTAAACTAAATATGGGCAAAAAAAAAACCCCAAGATCAAATAAAAGCACTAAAAAGCATGGCCATGGTTGATTTATTTAGGGAATCAAGGGTTTCCAATGCTACTAGAAAAGTAACTTAATAGGATTGAACACATTAGCATTTAAAAGCATGTGATCTTCAGGTAGACTGGGAAGCCATTTACACTCTCTCACACTTCAGTATCTACTCAAAGCTAAAAAATGATTATCAAAGATAGGCTAGAGGGATGGCTCAAGTGGTAGAGTGCCTACCTAGCAAGCATTCAAACTTCAAGTACTGCCAAAACAAAAGTTTAAGGAATGTTTTTAATTTTTTAACGTATAGATACGAATTTCCTTCACTTTTGGTTAAATGATGTGGTTTTAAAAATTAATGCAGGGACTTTACTCAGTGATAAGAATTACAAGCCTTTGTTAAAACCAGGCCAAAGCCAAGAAAACCGCAGTGCCACCACTGTTTATCTCAGACTAAAAGATTCTAGCCAGCCACAACAAGAATGAGAAAAAACTGAACACTCAATAAGGCCATGCCTCATCCTAATTATTTTGCATATGTAAACGACATTAGTTTTAATTAGTTTTGTCTCGCAATATTCCTGGCATCAAATGTTGGGAATCTATTTTTTTAGTCAGTTAAGTTTGCATTTGGGAACTTGTAATAAAATCTAAATTTTTAAAAATTAAAAAAATACTTAGCTTGCTTAACTATCTTCTTAAAGAAAGTATATTTTCTTATTTGAAACTAGGTCAAGTTTTGTGGTTTCCAAATCCATATGAATGTGGATGTTAATATAAAAGGTAACTGAAACTCTGGGTGTGCTGTCTGTTCCAAATAATATGTGTTCATCAAAGTATGGCTCTCTTACATGCTGTTTAGTGATCCTGTGCTACTGATACTTCATTTAATAGCTGTCTGAAGTCTTTATGAAAATGATGTGCCAATTCTGGTGACTTCTGCAGTATTTTTTTTTTTTTAGATTTAAATGGAATTATTTTGTCCCTAAGAAAGATTTCATTGCATATTTTACTAATGCTAACAATTGTTAAACATGCATACAACATTACAGAATTTTAATTGTTTTAGTGATAACTTTTCTAGCATATTCTATGAGGCATAGTTGTGAATTAAATCTAATCTTTGGTCAGTGAAGGTGTCAAATAATAATATGAATCTTACCTGCAAAGGCAGACTCTGAGTGTCTGAAACATTGCGGAAGTAGGTAGGGATACTTCCCTTCTTAGGGTTAGACTAGATTAGACTCGGATCACCTGGCATAGACTAGCAGTGATAGCTTCTAGAGTCTGAACAAAACAAGTCCTCCACCTCAAAACTAGTTATCAACTTACATCAATAGGTCTCCTACTTTCAAAATAGGTCTCCTTCATTCGCCAACATGGATAACCTCTCTTACTGTTCGTAGCAGATACTGGCAAAGCGTCATGAAAGATTGTCCATCTTATTATGATGTTGCCAAGCGTCCTGAACCTGCTATTTACCACCAGTGCCCTAACTGAATCAGCACTGGACCACACAAGGTTGGTCCAGTCCAGGATGAGGAGAAAGGAGCAGTGAGATGTTGGGTTAAGAATTTTCATTTGCTAATTCTTGATTTACATGTTAGCAAAAGTTGATCAACAAAAATGAAATGGCAAACCAAAATAGTGGTCTTCTTAAGGAAGAGAAAAGTAAATTCGTTGACAGGGAGTACAAGTGAAACTTGAAATTTTATTGAACACCTTCTGTGAGCTGGGCTTCTATAGACTTTATCTCATTTGTCCCGTAAGAACCTTCAAAGAGCTGGGTACAGTGGCTTACATCTGTAATTCCATCTACTTCAGAGGCTGAGATCACAGTTCAAGGCCAGGCTGGACAAATAGCTCTTGAGACCCCATCTAAAATAACCAGAGCAAAATGGACTGGAGGTATGGGCTCAAGTGGTATAGTGCCACTCTGTAAGCAATGAAGCTCTCAGTTGAAACCTCAGTACCGACACAAAAAAAGAAATAATAATAATTAAAATATAGAAGAAATTCAGAGATGATGGAGAGGTAACTTTCTCAAAGCTTACATAGCCGTAAATGAAAAAAGACTAATAGCTACCATTTTTTGTTTAGTTATGAAATGTCAGGCCACATTTTAGGCAATTACAGACTTGTTTCATTTCATCCTCAACAATAGCCTTGCAAAGTAGGTGCATCACCATTTCACCTTTTCACTTTTGGTGAAGCGCCAAAGCCAGCCTGGTGCTAAGTTAATTGGCTGAGGTCATATAGTTTGTTGAGCAGAAATCACGTGTGGATTCTCACAATGCTGTACTGCCTGATTTTCTTTTAATAAAGCTGAAATCTGGAGATAAGAAATTCTGTAATAAGAATTGTCAGCTGCCATTGTGAGTTCATGCTCATAAAAATCTAGTTTTTGTTTTGGACACCCCTAATCCTCAGTAACTAGGGAACTCTTTTGGGGGTCGAGCTCAAGCTTGCTAAACAGCTGTCTACCACTTGAGTCACACTCCCAGCCTCCATTTATTTAAGTTATTTTTCTGATAGGGTCTCATGTTTACGCCTGGCCACACCTGGACCACATAGCTGGAATGACAGGTATGAGCCCCATGCCCCAGCTGTTCGTTGACATGGGGTCCAAAACTTTCTTGCCTTGGACGCAGATCTACCCTATCTCTGTCTCCTGAATAGCTGGGATTACAGAGATGAGCCACCACACCCAGCCAGGAAACTTTCTTTTGGCTAAGAATTCTCCTTCTAATGTGTTCTCAAATGACCCTGTCCTTGCATTCCATATTCTTTTAGAATTGCCAATTTCCTCATCTCGCTCCTCCTTAGACTCTCCACTATAAGAAAGCAAAACTCAAAGTCCTTTCATTCCCCGCTGCTTCCTCCATACTTACCTTGCCTGCCCATCATGTGTGATTGATGCTTTTTGTATGATGCTGGATTTCCAGAAGAAAGAATACTTATAACAACTGCTGTTTCTCCTTTTTGTTGTTTTTTGAGACAGGATCTCTCTCTGTGGCCCAGACTGGCCTCAAATATTCAGTCCTCCTGCCTCAGCCTCTCAAGTGTTGGGATTTCAGGTGTGTGCCACCACACCCGCTGTGTCCTTGCCTTACTCATTTTCAAGGTGACTTTTGTTTGTTTACTAAACATCGATACAGTGGAAATGGTGGAGCTGCTGGAGCATGAAGCCATGGAATTAGAGCACGTAGAGGAGAAGAGAAGGAAAATACCATGTAAGGTATCAGACAGCGAGGAGGCTCTGGGAACCTGTGAACCAGCTGACTCAGATGACACAGTGGCTAAGGAATCCACGCCATGCAATCGCAAGTCTATATTCTTTCCAAAATAAGGAGAGCTGGAGAGAACAATTAAAACTATCAAGGAACCATAAGTGGGGATATCCTCCCCAGCGCTGCATAAGTGCCTCACATCTATGGTAAGAGCCACATCTGGGCCCAGCATGTCAGTGTGAGCTCGAGTACTGGTGGGCCTGCCAGTGGGGACTCGGACAGTTACTGGGTGATGCAGCTTTTCATAATTCACCTCCCTACTCTCATCATCTTCAGCCTCATTTCCATCTGCAGTTAAGGCACTAATGTTCCTTCTTTACAATTTTGATAGGGTAGACATACATCTTTTTCTGTCTCTACAGGTTGATGATGGAGATGACTCCATTTCTAAACCCAGGCAATTGAAAGTTTCCCTGTTATACTTCTTGACTACTAGTATATTATTCAATCACTCTTAGTTAACCAGGTGTGGTGAGGAACACCTGTAATTCCAGCACTTGGGAGACAGAACCAGGTAACTATGAGTTCAAGGCCAGCCTAGGCCGCCATAATATAATTCTGGGCCAGGCTGGGCTACATAGCAAGACCTGTTTCAAAAAAATAAAACAGAACTCATTTTTCCCCTGGTCAGCAGGGATAACATTTAGCTAGTACATTCTTGTGAAGCCGAGTCTTTCTTCTTGATGTAAATCGTGGGCCAGAAAATTATGGCCCATGGGTTACAGTGGGCTACAACCATTTTATAAATAAAACTTTATTGGAACTCACTTCTACCCATTCTTTTGTATTATAACAGCAGAATTAAGTGTGTTTAAACACAGACTACAAAGCCAAAAATACTTACCTTCCCCTTTACAAAAAGTTTGTCAACTGCTTGCTGGTATAAAATACTGACTGGTAACTTATATATTTGTAAATAAACCTTTATTTGAGGCTCTATATTTGTGAGCTGAGGCTTCACACTTAACAAGACCAGGCATTCTACCACTTAATCCAGGCCTCCAGTCCATTTTGCTGTGGTTATTTTTAGAGATGGGCATCTTGATAACTATTTGCTGAACTGGCTTGCATCTTGATCCTCCTGATCGCCTGAATCTCAGCTCCCAAGTGGCTAGGATTATAGGCATGAGCCACCAGCATCTGGCTAAGGCACTATCTTTTTATATGTGGCAACAGTGTCACTCAAATGCTTGAAAAATCCAATCAATACGTATTTTTACATATTTCAGTACCATGTCACGTGAAAACTTGACTTCATTTTTCTCTAGTTGCTTCTTTGAAAAGTAGGATTTTTTTTTTTTTTTTTTGAGACAGGGTTCACTGTGTAAGCTCAGGCTGGCCATAGCCTCTCAATCCTCCTGCCTCAGCCGTCTGAGTCTGGGATTTAGTTGTGTACCACCACACTCAGATTAATAAGACATTCTTTTTCCTACTCTCTTTATGATTTTTAAGGAGGTAATTCTCAAAATTGCACATTTTCATTTTTTAAAGACAGTAAACTCACGGTAGGCTTAACAATACAGAAATAGCTTGTCTTTTCCAGTGTTGGCAAGACCCTGGTCCTAACTTCTGTTTCAGCTTAATCTGACTTTTCTTGCAGACTAAAAAGGGAAGAGGAACACAAGCTTGTTAAATCAAAAGTTGTGAATGATGAGGAAGTGGTTCGAGTTCCTTTAGCCTTTGCCATGGTTAAATTGATGCATTCCTTCCACAAGAGTGATGGAGACGAATCTGCCAAGGTGCGTCCTGTGACAAGTTGAACAAGTTCAGTGAAACTCAAATTGCTTCTTTTTTCTGACTTTCAAATATCTCTGCTAGGAAGAGAAATGCTGTCAAATTGCTGTGGTTCTGAATCTGACTGAGAAATTAGGGTTAAGAATAATTAAAGACAAAGGGATATTTTATGTTTTTATTTGTTTCTGTTCATTTGGTTAGTCATTTTTCAACTTTGGCTTTTTCCAGTATTTTGCTGAAGTGCGTGTGCTCTCCTCAGAACAGCGCACAGGACATCAGAGACACTTGCTCGCAAGTACTCTCGCAAAAAATAATAGAGGATCTGGTGCTGCACTTGCCTGCAGTCTGTTTTTTTAAAAGAATTACAAACTACCCTTTGTCCGTGGATATCCGGTAAATTGCATGTACGCTTTATATATTTAAGTTGAAATCGGAGTTTCCAAATATTAGCATCTTAAACACTATAAGTCATGGCATTGAAGCTGTCCTCAGTCAACCTTTGAATCCACTGAGATAGCAGGCAAACAGCATCCACAGGTTTTCTAAATTAAGGAATCTGCTATTTAAAATGTCCTATGGGGTCAGAGGCATGGCTCAAGTGTGGAGCAACTTGCTTGGCCTAGCATGTGTTTGAGACCCTGATTAAACCGCCATACCACCAAAAAAAATTTTTTAAAAGGGTAAAGAATTCTGTGGCAATCACAGTGAAGTCAGGTCTGGTAAGCAGTGGCTTCTTTGGTTTTTCTTTCCTTGTGAGTGTCCTCATTTCCTTTCATTGCTGGGGGGCATTAATTGCTGGATATATGATTCTGCATTGGCAGTCCTTCTTCTGCCCCCTTTTTCTGATACGTTGTACACGTGTGCTGTTCTCTGAGTATTGCCTGTGTTCCTCCTGTAACTGCTGTGAAGGTTGTTTCTGTCTTGTTCTTCAGCCCGTTGTACGGTGGTTGTGTGTGTGTGTGGGTGTGTGTGTGTGTGTGGTGTGTGTGGTTGTGTGGCTTGTGTGTGTGGCTTTCTTGCATTTACCTTCTTTGGGGTGCCTGAGGCTTTCTTGACCAAATTTTGGATTTCCCGGCCAGTATTTCAACTACTTCCTCTGCAATGCATCTGCTTTTCTCTTACTAGTCCCTGAAAGTCTGTTCTTTTTTATGTCTGGTCTTCTTCCTCTCCTGTTTCAACTGGAATCATTTCTATCATCTGTCCTTCAAGTTCACTAACTCCTTCCTCTTTTCGCCATTTCTCCATTATGCTGGTTCAATGAGTTATTTTAGGTGTGCGTATTTAATTCTAAAATTTCCTATACTCTCTCTGTCTTCTTTTTCTTGGCTAACATTGATATTTCCTTTTTATTTCAGTCCTCCTAGCTAAAAACTGGAGTTTTACTTTCTCCTCTCTTTGTCATTCATTCCACGCCATGCGCAATGTCAGGGGCAAAGTTGGTCTAAGACGAGAAAAAAAAAACTAGTCTTGGCCCCCCCATCAAAATTGCCTTCACAATGAACAAAGAGGAAGGTTCTCCAGAATTGGTGGTTCCTGCCAGTCCCCCATTTCAGGTCACTGCCACACCACCACAAGCATCATCAGGGCTAGGGAGCAGCAGAAAAGAAAAATGATAGAATTTCTCACCTTCTTGGAAACCTGATAAGTTTCCTCTCCACTGGGTTTCACATCCAGAATAGGGGCTTCTCTTAGAGTTCTCTTTGTCTTGCCACTTCTATGTTGTCTAGGAGATAATGGACAGAAACTGGTAACTCTGGAAAGTCTAGTGTACTTGGGCATCTGGAGTTTTCCCCAGTGTCAACTCTGTGGATCCTGTTCAAGGCTTCCAGAGCTGTTGCTTAGTGGGAGGCAAAGTAGAATATGCTTTCCCCAACCTACTAGAGTGGGCTGACCCCACAGTGTTCACTTGTATTCTGTTCTTTCCAACCAGAATTTATTTCCTGACACCCCGGAGGAGGGGCCATGTCAGGCACTGGCATAAGGATCAATACAAGTGCATTTAATATCCTCGAGGATTTCATTTGACACTATTTAAGGAATCCCCTGAAGTTGTTTTCACTGGACTTAAACCCTTTTTTTCCCTCCACACATCTGTTCTCTAAATCTATCCCCATTTGTTGTTTAAATAAAAGAATAGACTTGAGAGAACAATCTAGTTTTGTGCCTTTAGTGTTTAATCATGTAGACTGCCATGCAACTATACTGCTTCAGGTGTCTTAGCGTCTCTCCAGAAAACAATTTTAAAAATTATATGCACTGGAAGTGTGGTCAAAGTTTTTAGAGTGCTTGCTCAGCAAGTAAAGACCTGAGTATCAGTCCGCAGAGAACTTTGCCCCCTCCCCCATTATATATTATATTATGTATGGAACAGAGAGAAAGAGAGAGAGGGAGGGAGGGAGGTGGGCTCAGTAAGCATTTTAAATACATAGAACAGTACCAAAAGGTTACAAGTAAGGTAACATTAGAAAACTATGCTTTGAGATCCAATCTGTGTAATTAACAACTATGTTTCCCTGGCTTCATACTCTGATGTTGCTGGTAAATTTACATCACTAGATGAACAGCATAAAGGATATGTAAAAGCTTGAGAGGCTAAATAGGCAGAGTAGATGCAGAGCTGGGTCTCTGGTACCAGCCCCTTGGTTTCAAATTTGACAAACAACCATCTTCTACCGTTTGAACCTTGTACAAGTTCTTTGACCTCCTTCTGTGCCTCAGCTTCCTCATTGAAAGAATGCTGATAATTTCAGCACTACACATAGAGCGGTTTGGTGAGGCCTTAAAAGGGTATAAAATACATACGAAATATTTTTTATTCTTATTTATTTTTTTTTTTTCCTTTTTATTACTTCATATGTGCATACAAGGCTTTGGGTCATTTCTCCCCAATGCCCCCACCCCCTCCCCCCTTTTTACCACCCACTCCACCCCTCCCTGCTCCCCACCACCCCCTCATAACCAGCAGAACTATTTTGGTCCCTTATGTTCTAATTTTTGGTTGTAGAGAGAGTATAAGCATAATAGGAAAGGACAAGGGGTTTTTTGCTGGTTGAGATATAGGATGCTATACAGGGCATGTGACTCACATTTACCAGGGAATGATAAATTTCATTCTTCTTCATGGCTGGCATAAAATTCCATTGTGTATAGATACCACATTTTCTTAATCCATTCGTCAGTGTAGGGGGGCATCTTGGGTTCCATAACTTGGCTATTGTGAATAGTGCCGCAATAAACATGGGTGTGCAGGTGCCTCTGGAGTAACCTGTGTCACAGCTTTTGGTATATCCCCAAGAGTGGTATTGCTGGATCAAATGGTAGATCATGTCTAGCTTTTTAAGTAGCCTCCAAATTTTTTTCCAGAGTGGTTGTACTAGTTTACATTCCCACCAACAGTGTAAGAGGGTTCCTTTTTCCCCGCATCCTCGCCAACACCTGTTGTTGGTGTGTTGCTAATGATGGCTATTCTAACAGGGGTGAGGTGGAATCTTAGCGTGGTTTTAATTTGCATTTCCTTTATTGCTAGAGATGGTGAGCATTTTTTCATGTGTTTTTGGCCATTTGAATTTCTTCTTTTGAGAAAGTTCTGTTTAGTTCACTTGCCATTTCTTTATTGGTTCATTAGTTTTGGAGAATTTAGTTTTTTAAGTTCCCTATATATTCTGGTTATCAGTCCTTTGATGTGTAGCTGGCAAATATTTTCTCCCACTCTGTGGGTTCTCTTCAGTTTAGAGACCATTTCTTTTGATGAACAGAAGCTTTTTAGTTTATGAGGTCCCATTTATCTATGCTATCTCTTAGTTGCTGTGCTGCTGGGGTTTCATTGAGAAAGTTCTTCCTATACCTACTAATTCCAGAGTATTTCCTACTCTTTCCTGTTACCAACTTAGAGTTTGTGGTCTGATATTAAGATCCTTGATCCATTTTGAGTTAATCTTGGTATAGGGTGATATACATGGATCTAGTTTCAGTTTTTTGCAGACTGCTAACCAGTTTTCCCAGCAGTTTTTGTTGAAGAGGCTGCTATTTCTCCATCGTATATTTTAGCTCCTTTGTCAAGACAAGTTGGTATATTGTGTGGCTTCATATCTGGGTCCTCTATTCTGTTCCACTGGTCTTCATGTCTGTTTTTGTGCCAGTACCATGCTGTTTTTATTGTTATTGCTTTGTAATATAGTTTGAAGGTCAGGTATTGTGATACCTCCTTGCATTGTTCTTTTGACTGAGTATTGCCTTGGCTATTCGTGGCCTCTGTTTCCATATAAATTTAAACAGTAGATTTTTCATCTCTTTAATGAATTCATTGGAATTTTGATGGAATGCATTAAACATGTAGATTACTTTTGGGAGTATCGACATTTTTTACTATGTTGATTCTACCAATCCATGAGCATGGGAGATCTCTCCACTTTCTATAGTCTTCCTCAATCTCTTTCTTCAGAAGTGTATAGTTTTCCTTGTAGAGGTCTTTCACATCTTTTGTTAGGTTACACCTAGGTATTTGATTTTTTTTTGAGGCTATTGTAAATGGAATTGTTTTCATACATTCTTTTTCAGTTTGCTTCATTGTTAGTGTATAGAAATGCTAATGATTTTTCTATGTTGATTTATATCCTGCTACCTTGCTTATAGCTATTGATGATGTCTAGAAGCTTCTGAGTAGAGTTTTTTGGGTCTTTAAGGTATAGGATCATGTCTCTGCAAATAGGGATATTTTGACAGTTTCTTTACCTATTTGTATTCCTTTTATTCCTTCTTCTTGCCTAATTTGCTCTGGCTAGGAATTCCAGTACTATGTTGAATAGGAGTGGAGATAGTGGGCATCCTTGTCTGGTTCCTGATTTTAGAGGGAATGGTTTCAGTTTTTCTCCATTAAGTATAATTGCTGGCTGTAGGTTTTTGTCATATATAAGCTTTTTATAATGTTGAGGAACTTTCCTTCTATTCCTAGTTTTCTTAGAGCTTTTATCATGAAATGTGTTGGATCTTATCAAAGGCTTTTTCTGCCTATTGAGATGATCAAGTGTTTTGTCTTTGCTTCTGTTAATGTGGTTTATTACGTTTATTGATTTTCGTATGTTGAACCACCCCTGCATCCCTGGGATGAAGCCTACTTGGTCGTGGTGAATAATCTTTTTGATGTGTTGTTGAATTCGTTTGCCATTATTTTTTTGAGGATTTTTGCATCAATGTTCATTAAGGAGATTGGCCTATAGTTCTCCTTTTTGGAGGTGTCTTTGCCTGGTTTTGGGATAAGTGTAATACTGGTTCATAAAATGTGTTTTGGCAGTTTTCCTTCCCTTTCTATTTGTGAACAGTTTAAGGAGGTGGTATCAGTTTTCTTTAAAGGTTCTGATAGAATTCAGCAGAGAATCCATCAGGTCCTGGACTTTTCTTTTTTGGGGAGACTCTTGATTGCTGCTTCAATTTCATTTGTGTTATAGGTCTATTCAGGTGATTAATTTTCCTCTTGGTTCAGTTTGGATGATCATATGTATCTAGAAATCTGTCCATTTCTTTTAAGATTTTCAAATTTATTTGAATATAGGTTCTCAAGTAGTCTCTGATGATTTCTGGACTTCCATGGTGTTTGTTGTTATCTCCCCTTTTGCATTCCTGATTCTACTAATTTGGTTTTTTTCTCTCCTCATTTAGTCAGGTTTGCCAGGGTCTATCGATCTTGTTTATTTTTTTCAAAAGAACCAACTTTTTGTTTCATTAATTCTTTGTGTGGTTTTTTTTGGTTTCTATTTCGTTATTCAGCTCTTATTTTTATTATTTCTCTCCTTCTGTTTGTTGGGATTTGCTTGTTCTTGTTTTTAGGAGTTTGAGATGTATCATTAGGTCATTGATTTGGGATCTTTCAGTCTTTTAATATATGCACTCATGGCTATAAACTTTCCTCTCAGGACTGCCTTTGCTGTGTCCCATAGGTTCCGGTAGGTTGTGTTTTCATTTTCATTGACTTCCAGGAACTTTTTAATTTCCTCTTTTATTTCATCGATGATCCCATTGTTCATTAAGTAATGAGTTATTTAGTTTCCAGCTGTTTGCATGTTTTTGTCTTTATTTTGTTGTTGAGTTCTACTTTTACTGCATTGTGATCCAGATAGTAAATGCACGGTATAATTTCTAATTTTCCTTATATTGTTGAGACTTCTGCTTTGGTGCCCTAGGCTATGATCTATTTTGAGAAGGTTCCTGGGCCTGCTGAGAAAGAATGTATATTGTGTACGGCTTGGAATGAAAAATGTTCTCGTAGACATCATACGAATATGATAGCAGTGCTGACTCCTAGTCAAGCTCCAGTACCACTTGCTTTGGTTAAAGTTGGGGCAAAATACTTACCTGGCAAGGGGAGATACCATGATCACGGAAGGTGGTTTTTTCCCAGCGGCGAAGGCTTATCCATTGCACTCCGGGATGTGCTGACCCCTGCGATTTTCCCCAAAATTGGGAACTCGACTGCTAATTTGTGGTAGTGGGGGACTGCGTTCCGCGCTCTCCCCTGAAAAAAAAAAAAAAAAAAAAAGTTGAGGGCAAAAGACTTGTTTCCCTCATAGCCACTTTCGTTCTACGCTTTTGATTGTAGCTAAGCAATGGAAAGCTTGCTTACTTCACAGTTGTCTTGTAAAGTTAAAGACTTTTGCTTTTCTGTAAATTAAATCACAAATTAAATGTTTAACTATAAATGTAGATTCTTAACGATGCATTGTGTTCTGAACAATTTTTGACAGTGACATCAATTGGCTTAAACAATCTTTAAATGATGACATGTTGTCAAAGCTTCTCCCAGTAAGAAAAGACCAAACTCCAAATGTTCTTCTGTAGTTCTCCATCAAGCATTTCTGTAGGATGGGAACTGTTGACCACTCTTGTCCTTACTGTGTGTCTCCATTTAGGTCATGTGCTTGACCGTTTCATGTTCCACATGCTGCTGCAGCGGCCCGAGGACAGCACAAGGCTGCAAGTTGGAGAATTTGGACCCTTGTTTAGATTATAATGATTGAGGTAAGATTTACACGAATCAATCAGTTTTTTAAATGGGCAAAGTCCACAAATAGGAAATAATCATGATATCCTATTAAAAAGGAGGAGGGGCTAAGGGGGAAGCTTAGTGGTAGAAGGGTACACGAGGCCCTGGGGTTTGACAGCCAGTAGCAAAACGACAGACAGAGAAGACGAAGGAATGTCCTGCTTGTGTCTTCAGATCAAAAACAAAGTTTAAAGAAGCTAAGTTCTCAGCGAGGGGCCTAGTACTGTCATTGCTAGTGGGGTCATAAATTGGTTCAATCTTTGGGGAATAGTTGGCATGTCAACAGCTTTTGAAAATTACCAAGATTTTCAGTATTTCTGAAATCCATTTTACAAGGATAATCAGAGATGTAGCCAGGGTTCTGATAAAAATATGTTCAATCAGAGCTTATGAAAATAAACCTAAACTCCTAAAGTGGAATTATGTGATATAATTTGGGAGATAAAATTTAGAAGAGAGTAAATTTCCATTTACTTTGGTTCACTCTTTTTTTTTTGAAAAATGGGGACTCGAATTTAAAAATCTCAAATATGTACGTTATTTGTTAATAATTCATTGCAGTATGAAATGTCTTGAATGCGACATTAAGCTACTCCTTTGTGATAACAAAAAAGTAG